GGGCTGCTGGTTGGGAGGGGGATCCGGCGGGTTACTCCCCCCTCCCCTCCTTGTGAGCGGCCCACAGACCCTGCCCAGAGTGGGCTGTGCACAGCCTGTTCCGTCCCCTTCCAATCGGCCGGATGCTCTCGGTGGAGATGCGGATGCTCGTGTGATCGGCACCTCCACCTTAACCACGGGACCTCACCGGGACCTCGCCGGGTCGTCTGATCCTACTGCCACGAGGTATTTTGCCCCGGGGCTAATAGCCACGTTCCCCCCCGCAGTTTCTTGCCCGTGTGACCGCAGACATAGTTATGCAATGGCAAACCACCTCTGTTTGCCTTGAAAACCCCATGACAGGTGCGACTTGATGGCCCTTTCCACCAACACCACCATATCATGCAGGGTGTGACCTGAGGCCTTATTGTATATACAAACTACATTTTTATGATTTTAGGCTACAGTTGAATCTTGGATTAAAGATAAAATGCCAAAAAAGTCTGGAAGATGGTGGTTCTGGCGTAAGAAAGACAGCTTAGTTAAACAGGTAAATTACATTCACTGGTTGAACGTACTTTGTTGTAATTCTGATTGGTACCTTCCTTCATGTTTATCAGAGCAATAGCAATACATGCTCTTTTTATTTGAGCCAAACATCATAATCCTAAATTTTCCAGTAGTAATTTCTAACTGAATTCTGTAGCAATGTGGGAAGCTGTTCATATGTAGCATAGTTTGGGAGGCTAATACTACATTATTAGCTTATAAAATATTAATAAAATGAGATGAATGAAATAACTATCCTGAAGCAGTCTTCATATCATTGAATTCAGAAAGAGAATACTTCAATACTTACTTGTGTATTCACAACAATGTAGTCATGTTAATCAGAAATATTGTACGTTATCTTTCAGCTCAGGTGGCAGTGAAGATAGGTAACGTGTCGATGTTTTCATATGTTTTTTTCACCTAATAGCTTCCTGAGGCAAAGGAAGGGAAATCAGAAACTTCAAAAAGTGAAGCTGCTATGAAGGAAGAAGTTGACAGCCGGTAGGTTTCATTCAGTTGAGGTTATATTTGAAGTGAATGCCTGACCTTTGGAGGGGGGAAAGGATTTTGCTGCTGGGTAGCATTTCTTCTTAATGAAGCATTTGACCAGGACTTGGGAAAAGTACATAAAATGTACTTTAAGATACTCTTAACACTGTGTAAATATTCAGTCTATTCATTTTGCTGTTCCCAAAAATATTATAATAGTTGAAGAAGCGTTAAAACCATAAAATGTTGGAAGAGTACATCTTTTTTGGGGTGGTGGTGGTTAGAATGTAGAATACGTGAGCATTTCTTTTCATTGGCTCTGAAAGTCCTGATACATATTATTACTGTTTTTATGTCATATTAGGCCTATAGATGATTCTTCTAGTGATGAAGGATCACAGGAACTGAAAGAATCCTTGAAAATAGATTCTGTTTCGGTTGAACATCCAAGCCATGGGAATTCTACCTCATATAAAAAGTCACTACGATTGTCTTCAGATCAAATTGTAAGTATAGATATCCTGATGCTTCTAAATGATTCTGAATTTAATACAACAGACCTTGCCAAAGGAGGTGCAGTTGGAGAAGTAAAGGTCCACTTGCCATTTTTTTCTGAAGAACTTTTTTGGTATATTGTTAATCACACTGGGTTCTGGTCTATCTTTGTAACTTCTAGAAAAATCCTCCCTCACTGGAATGACCCTCCCCCTTATTTATTACCATAATTTTAGTTCAGTACTGTTTATGTGCATTATAGGAACAGAATGGGACATATTCATGTTGCTGATTATCACTATTATGTGGTGGAAAGTGCCATCAAGTCAAAGCCGACTTATGGTGACCCCTGTAGGATTTTCAAGGCAAGAGACTAACAGAGGTGGTTTGCCCTTGCCTGCCTCTGTGTAGTGCAGCTCATGAACTATGTTTCCATCAGAATGTTATCTCCATTTTTGTGCTGATTGAAAGAAATGCAGAAATAAGAAATAGGTATTAGAAAACAACCTGGTTGATAGAACAGTAACCTTTTCTAAGTGTAGTTTTAGGGGAACTCCCTCCTGCATCTTAGAATGGTTCTCATTTGGTTAATTAGGTCCTTCTTTGTTTGAGAACACTAAAGGCTTGTAGAAAAACAGCCTTAAGCTAAAAAAAGGGTTGTGCCCGTTAGTGCTCCCTCTAAGCTGTGGAGTCTTGTGAGCAAAAATTTGGCTTTGGGAGCTGCTGGCATTAAAATTGTGAGCGAGCGATTTGGCAACTGCCTAAATCAGCTTGCTCTGGAGCCATCTTTCCTGAGCGAAGGTAAAAACATGTGAGCTGGAGGCTAAAAAAGTGTGAGCTAGCTCACACTAACTCAGCTTAGAGGGAACCCTGGTGCCCGTGTAGTTCCCAGGATACTTAGAATTTTGGTCGTTTGCTTGCACGTTTTAAATTGTCTGGCAGTCTTCACAGAGTGGAGAAGCTAACTTGAAGGATCAGGCTATAAACAACAACTTTTAACTTCAGAGAAAGACACCTTATAGTATACAAAATGGTAAGGCTTTCCTGGGCTTTACTCAGATAGGCACTTAATTCTAAATATATTTATTAACTTACTTTGATGCAAGTCTTACTTACTTGGAATATCAGCCTACCTCAGTCCAATGAATACATTTAATGAAATAGGTTTCTTTGCTTTGAGTCTATTTGAGAGATGAACTGTGGTTTTTCTATTAGACTTGAGGGGGCAGATGTTAACATAATGCTAAGAGTTCATTATGTCAAGGTGGACCTGTATCCACTCTATCTCAGTACATGATTTTGATGGTGACCTTGTGCAGATTGGTATTTTGGCTTAACTGGTTTGTAGAAAGAGGAGGTAGATATTTTGAATGCAATTACAAAAATTCTGTATATAACAATACTTTGTTTTAGTACTGAAATGTAAAAACTTTTGCAAGAGGAACACTGCATTCCTTTTTTGTTAACTTGAATTGTTCCTTTTGATTTTAAAGGCAAAGCTGAAGCTTAGAGATGGCCCAAATGATGTTGTGTTCAGCATTACAACCCAGTATCAGGGGACTTGCCGTTGTGCAGGAACGATATACCTATGGAATTGGAATGACAAAATCATAATTTCTGATATCGATGGGACAATAACAAAGTAAGCTCCACTGCTGCACTGCCATCTGTTTGTGTTCCATAAGGCTGAGAAGATTGTTACTGAGAAAATTTCTGGATTCAAGAACAAGCAACTTTAATTTCTGCATGCTTCCATCTCTCCCCCCACTTCTGCCCAAATCTTTGCTGGAATCTGATGTAATGGGTTAGAATGTGTCAATGTTTAACTTATTTACTGAATGAATCACTGAAACCAGTGAATAGCCTTTGAGTATATTAGGCAGTGCTGGGTCTTTTTATAGCTGCTTTGATTAATGTTTCCATCTGTTTCCATCTTGTTCTAATGTGCACAACTGGTTTAGGTCTGATGCTTTAGGACAGATTCTACCGCAACTCGGTAAAGACTGGACACATCAGGGCATTGCAAAACTGTACCATTCTATTAACGAGTGAGTATCTTTTCTGTAATAGTGTTGTGGAGCATAGAAATAATTCATTATACCAGTTTTGCTAATGATTAACCATCGGCACCTTTGCACAACTTTGGCATGTTTAACTGGAAAAAAATCCCCTGAATCTATCATATTTTACACTTCAACTGTATCGGTCTGTACCTTATTCAGAAACTATATTTCAATTCAGAGTATAACTGGAACTTGAAGTATATTTGGTTAAATATATAACGTGCAGAGAAATTTAAGTTCTACCAGAGGTCCCCTTGTAATTTGTTTGCCAGCTATAAGCTTATACTCTGACATGCATGAGTAGGGCTTGTAGTAATACACAAGCCCAGGTCAACCTTTTGTTATTGTCCATGGAGTTTTCTTGGCAAAGATACTGGAATGGGTTGCCGTTTCCTTCTCCAGTGGTGCTTGGAAAGATTGAAGGCAAAAGAAGAAGCATGAGATGGTTATACAGTGTTATTGATGCAGCGAACGTGGGGCTGAGCACACTCTGGGGGACAGTGGAGGACAGGAGGGCTTGGCGTGATATGGTCCATGGGGTCATGAAGATGACCCCCGAGGGAAATTTCCTGGGTTAAGTGTGGGATTGAATGTGGGGCAGCAGCTTTGGCTGTTTCACAGAAGCAGTGGACATCACTGTGTTTTCTGCCAGTTCGTTGCCTGAAGATTCCTTGTGCTACCATGATCCAGCAATGGAGACGGTACCACTCTTTGCCTACCTATGGATTTCCCACTGTTATCTCTATCCTTCCCTGTGTAGAAGGGTTAAAGGAGGCTCCTGTGCTGTTAAATGACTAGTTTGCTTAGTTAGTAAGATCAGCTTTAAGGAGGTCACCACACTGGAAGGTTGTGGCTGTATCTGGAAGCTAGACTCTTCAGTCATGGGTCTAGGAGGAGAGCAGCAGAAGCTGGTGAAAAATGCTAACTAGGAGACATGGAACACCGAGTAGAAGCATACTTTAAAAAGAAGGACAAGGAGGAGCTCATGAAGAAGGATAAAAGCTTTGGTTTGTTTCAGAACTTTGTTCATCGAGGTTTTTTAAAATGTCTATGGTGCCCCTGATACTGCAAACTTCTGCAAGAAGCTGCTTCTACAAGAATTAAATGTTGGGAGATGAGAATTAAACCTTTGAGCATAGAGTAGCTGGAACTTTAGATGTAGTATATCTTAACTACAAACCATTTTTTGTGAAAAAAATGTGCCTAGAAGTGTTACACAAGTCTAGAGTGCTGATTTTCTCTTCTAGTTTATGTGCTTAAAGTCTGATTTCCCCCAAGAAAAATACTTTGGTGGTTTTGGGGTTGGATGGGGGGGGGGGGGAATACAACAGCCATGTTTTAAATCGGTATACATGGCCCTTAGACTGTAAACTTAGACTGTATTGGCAAACCATTCTAGGCATTTTAAGCCTCATACGAAGAACAAGATAAATGTGCTTATGGTCTTTGAGAATATTTTAAATGGATTCGGATAGCTATCGGCTGGTGGTCCCTGGCCCCAAAGATATCCGACTGTCCTCGATCAGGGCCTGGCCCCAACCTGTTGGAATTCTTTGTTGAATACCACCAGGGCCCTGTGGGATCTTATGCAATTCCACAGGGCCTGTGACGCAGAGATGTTCCACCAGGCATTTGGTTGAGGACAGCAACGGTTTTCACTCTAGCTGGCACCCTCTGCTCTCCAGCCGTCCGTCTTCCTCCCCTGCCCACGAGGTAGCCCGGCAGTCTGGAATGGGGAGTGATTTTAGTTCGCTATCTAGAGTTTTAACTTTATTTATTGGTGTACTTTAACTGTAGAGAATTTATATTTCATCCATTGTTGTACATCACCCAGAGCCCTACGGTAGCAAGGATGGGCAATTCAAAAATCTAATTAATAAATAATAGTAAATTACCAAGTTGTATGTGAAATAGTTTCTGGCTGAGATTTTCATTAACACACCCTTCTCCAATCAGCTGTTTTGTAGGATATAGGTTGGGTAGAGCTGGAAGAGCTGCCTCACCTTTGCAAGTGCAGTAGGATTGCCACCCTGAGTGGGACCTTTTAGTGTTACAAGAATTTGCCTTGGAGATCAATGAAGATGGGTCGGCATGTTGGTCTGTCCGTAGCAGACTAACAGTGGCTATAGCAGTGACTGAAGAAGTGAGCAGTAACTCATGAAAGCTCATATCCTACTACAAATTTTGGTAGTCAATGGTCCCTGCCACATGGCCGGAAAAACGACGGCCGAAGTGCAGCTAATCTGAGCCGCACCAAACTAGAGATGCCGCGGCGGGATCCCACGGATCCCCTGAGCCGCGGCGCCGTTGCTCCCCGGCACGATCAGATGCCGGGGAGAAAGCGACGGTGGGAGGGGAAGGCTGGCGAACCAGGGATGTGCCAGGGATGTGCCGGCCAGGAGCCAGGGATGTGCCGGCGAAAGGACACGCCGGTGATCCCACGGCCGCACTTGCCGCTGCCTTTCCGGATGAACCACCCAGGTAGGTGGTTCTTTTTTGGTGCGGGGTTTTGGGTGGGAGGATCGGTGACAGGCAGGCAACGCTTCCCAGATGTTGCTGTGGGATCGCGCCCATTTGCCGCACATCTGTTCCGTCCCTCTCCCGGCCCAAATCCTCGCGTGTGACCGGGGCCTTTAAAGTGCTGCAAGAATTTACCTTGTGAAGAGAAATCTTAATCTAAAATATCAGTGAAATGTATTTTGTTCCTTAGGAATGGCTACAAATTTCTGTATTGTTCTGCTCGTGCCATTGGAATGGCAGATATGACGAGAGGGTACTTGCACTGGGTCAATGACAAAGGAACAATCCTACCCAGAGGGCCCTTGATGTTGTCTCCTAGCAGTTTGTTTTCTGCTTTTCATAGGTATGTAAACAAAAGGCATCATTAATATCTCTAGAGTGCTGGGTTGTGAAGTAGGACTTCAGGAACTGAATACCTCCACTTGTCACTTATGGTGTCTTTGGTTTTATAGTGGCATGATAGTCTGTTGTGCTCTTCAGTAAATTGTGGCTTGTAAATATTTCATTTGTATCACTACAGGAAAGGCTTCTGCGGGCTAGGAACAGGAGTGGTTATAACAGAGGTCCTTTTTTCACTTTTAATTCAGTATTATTAATGTTTATGACTATATAGTGGTTGCTGGACCTTGGGAAGATCCTGAAACCATTTTTTTAATCAGCTGATCATTGGGACTGTAGTTTTCTTTTTTAAAACAGTTGGTGCAAGGCTGAAGTCCACCCCACCCTTGTGTAGTAGAAACATATCACATCTTCTGCTTTTTACTACTATTCTGTGAATAACTTTCCACAAATCTTTCTATATAGGCTGGTGTAGCAGCTCAGTCTTTTGAAGGGCTAAGTGAAACTAGTGAAAGGACATGTGATTTCACTGGTAGAAGGACTGGGGTGAAGGAAGGACTCCCAAACTCTTCTGTCCCTGTCTGCTCCATCCTTCCATCCCAGCTTTTCGTTCCCTGCTCTCTCGACACAATATTTCCATGGGTTTTCTTTCTCCCTGCAGTTCCTTCTTGCTCCTCTTCCTTGCCTTTGTCCCTCTACCAACCTCTACATCTCTTCTCCTTTCCCAACCACCATCTCCCTGGCTCTCTTCCTTCCTCTGACATCCATCTTTGTCTCCCCTCTGCCAGTGCAGAGCTTTACCTTTCCTATGGAAATGAATGGTTTATAAAATTACGCATGGGGTGGAGAGAGTTGGCAAAGGGGAAATTTTTCTCCCTCTCCCAAAATACTAGAACTTGAGGGTATCCAATGAAGCTGATGGGCAGTAGGTTCAGGACAGACAAAAGGAAATACTATAGAGAGAGAATGATTAAAATGTGGAATTCGCTGCCACAGGATGTCATGATAGCCACTGGAATAAACAGCGTTAAAAGGGGATTAGATAAGACAAGTGGAGACCCGCAAGAAACTTGCGGGATGGTTATCCTATTCCTCACGCCTTTGCTTCCTCCTGTCTCCCCCTACCTCTCTCACACTCTT